AGGAGACCCTCAAAGTTCGGCAAAGACTGCCACTCACGTTCCACTACTGCCTAGTACTGAATCCTACCTGGCTTCTTGACACGACTCAAACTTGCCAAAGTAAGTTACCAAATCAACGTCAACTACAATAATCAAGCCACTGATCTGCAACGTCACGAGGGTGCTGGCAAAAGTCCTGCTGCATGGCGGCGGGCTTCGCCGGCTTCGCCCGCTGCCGTGCAGCCCAATACGTGGCTAAAACACGTTATTTTTGGACCTTTTTGGACTTGGAACAAAATTCTGCACACTTTCGCGTCTTTCCATGATACGACAAGTTGCGCACGGTCTGCTCAGATTCAAATACAGTGCTGCCAACAAATGACAGCGTGCATCAAAAAAATCTTTCCTTTCAAGGGCATAATCCGGCCATAACTCTTGGACGGCTAATCAGATCGGGACACAATTTTCAGAGAATTTGCAGCTATTCATGCTCTTTTAACTCACGTAGCACTCAATATGAATTTACAAATTCGATTTTTCAGCGAAGGTTTGGGTAGTCTGACACCTTAAAGGCGACGTGGAGACAATAATCTTACAAATGCAATGAATAAAACTATAATGCAATTATAACTAAATGCGCACTCATATCACAACCATGGGGACGAATAATGTATTCCAGAACGTTTTCTTGCCACAATTATCAATGGAATTCGTGACTAAAGAGAATGCTGAAACTACAATAGGATTTATACACTTGGAATGAAACAGCGAGGATACAAGCATAGTAAGAAAAATAGCACAAACCTAGGAACAATTTGCACAGGTAATAAACTATAGGTGAGGTGAGAAATGATAGGAAATTCAGCAAGTGCAGCGTGACAATGGACATGCATGTGAAAGTGTGTGTGAGTGCGAATTTACTGAAATAGCGTAAGTGCGGTGACATTTTCTTTTTGTTTACAAAGATTTTGATCACGAATGCGAATGTAAACTGCTTCTAGAACTTTCACCTGCTTTAAACCACTTGCAGAACGAACAATATTGAACCAAGAATCATCATAACTTTCACGACACACGGGGTTAGACAACAGTATCATTTCTCAACTCACCTATAGTTTATTACCTGTGCAAATTGTTCCTAGGGTTGTGCTATTTTTCTTACTATGCTTGTATCCTCGCTGTATCACTCCAAGTGTATAAATCCTATTGTAGTTTCATCATTCTCTTTAGTCACGAATTCCATTGATAATTGTGGCAAGAAAACGTTCTGGAATACATTATTCGTCCCCATGGTTGTGATATGAGTGCGCATTTAGTTATATTCATTGCATTATTAAGTCTGAAGTAGTGGTTGCGACTTCGGCGATGATTTGTAAGAAAGGTTTGCTCCCCACACCGGAGCTCGCGCTATTCCGCCGACTTTACTTGACACTTGACTGACTCACGACTGCCATCCAGAGCACACGAGAAGTCCATCGAACCTTCGACTCGGCAAACCTGCAAGAAAGCACCACTCCCTGCTGAATACACAGTGTTTCGGGGAATTCACCCCTCATCAGTTGAGCTTGAGTAGGCCGAGGAAGATTGTGCCTGAAGAGCACCACTTATATAGTGCTCTCCAGGCACAAACATCACCAGAGATACAAACTTACAGAGACGCTCCGCTTCCAGCGCGATAAACACCTCGTGAACACCAGATAGCAGCGTGAGTCAGTGTCGCTCCTGGACGGTGAGACAGACGTCGAGGACCCTCGGTCATTCGCAACGCTGTCACCTCCAAACCAACTAGTCGCAAGCCCGCGCTGGGCACAACAGTACGAAGTAGTGGTTGCGACTTCGGCGATGATTTGTAAGAAAGGTTTGCTCCCCACACCGGAGCTCGCGCTATTCCGCCGACTTTACTTGACACTTGACTGACTCACGACTGCCATCCAGAGCACACGAGAAGTCCATCGAACCTTTGACTCGGCAAACCTGCAAGAAAGCACCACTCCCTGCTCAATACACAGTGTTTCGGGGAATTCACCCCTCATCAGTTGAGCTTGAGTAGGCCGAGGAAGATTGTGCCTGAAGAGCACCACTTATATAGTGCTCAAACCTTTATTATTAAGTCTATTATTATTTTAATATGGCAATAAGTAGGACGAGCTGAAGTGACATGTGGACTACTTTATTAACAATGTAAGCGATGGAGACGATGCAAGAAACAATCTAAAGGGTAAATAAAATACATGTAAGAAGAAAAAGGGCAATGGAAAAAAAGATGATTCGAACAAGTTTTCGTACAACACTCTTCAGGAATCACCGTTGTACTAAAGAACAAAATGAGAACAAAGGAAATCATATAGCAATCAAGGTAGGGTGACACGATACAATGACAGCACTGGAATATCGAGGTGCGATTTCTCACAAAAGTGTGTAGAACACAAGGGTATACAAGTAAGAACTAAGCGTGACAAGTGTGTATCAGCAACAAAAACAAAAAAAAACAAAAAAAGTGAGAACGAATGATAATAATAACAATAATAAACAAGAATGTGACACAAGTGGCAACAACGTTGCCACACTACACAAAAGAACATTATTTGAACAATTTTAGGGTAATAACACTATCTTTCTGGACACACAAATTCGGCTTATGAATGCGCTGACAAACAGCTTCCAAAACTTGTAACTGCAAAAGATAACCATGACGAGCACGGCACAAAACAGAAAAACAGGAATCAGAATGAGTACGACAACAGTCAGTACTAGAAACCAAATGATTGTATACTGAAGACTTATTACGAGACGGACGCACACAATCTCGACTCACGCGCACACCCTCACACTCACTCTCACCCTCACTCAGCTCACCTTCTCCCTCACTGTCCGAATCAGAACCTGCTCCGTCATCCACAGCGGTTCGACTCTCCTCCTCACTTGCATCGTCCTGCGTCTCACCTTCACCACCCACGCCAACCGTGAATGCCGTTGCCTTCATGTCAGTCGTCGTCCTTTCCGATTGCTTCCTTTGTATTTTTACCGTGAATTCATAGGTCCGGTTGTAATCTGCTGTAGATCTCCGTGGTCTGTCATTTGCTGCTTTGTTTTGTGGATTAGTTGTTGTTGTTGTTGTTGAATGTGAACCTGGTGTTGTTGTTGGATGTGAAGCTGGTGTTGATAAAGTAGTCCACATGTCACTTCAGCTCGTCCTACTTATTGCCATATTAAAATTATTGTCTCCTCGTCGAATTTCTATTATTATTATTATTATTATTTGAAACTCGGGTATTGAGCCAATAATAAAAGTAGAAAGGAAAAGGACATATGGAAACGAGTTAAGAGTAACTCTCCACCACTGTAACTATTATACAGTCAGAAAGTGCAAAAAACTAGGCACAAAACTGACAGAGTTCTGAGACATTCGACGTCCTGACACCTAGCCTCAACACATCTCCGTAGCGCTAACCGACAGCCTTCCAACTTGGAAGGTTCAAGGTTATGGAAAGACCAAAGAGGGGAAGGCGTAGTTAAACCGCTTTGTCAAATCGCCTACTGGTCTCGTCATCGTCCAGTGACAATCGACATTCTTTGTTCCGTTGGGATTGTAGCTTGTGCTCGTTTTCGTTGCGCTTGCCTTCCCCTCTTTGGTCTTTCCCTATCCTTGAACCTTCCAAGTTGGAAGGCTGTCGGTTAGCGCTACGGAGATGTGTTGAAGCTAGGTGTCAGGACGTCGAATGTCTCAGTACTCTGTCAGTTTTGTGCCTAGTTTTTTTTGCACTTTCTGACTGTATAATATATCTAGTTACAGTGGTGGAGAGTTACTCTTAGCTCGTTTCCATATGTCCTTTTCCTTTCTACTATTATTATTATTATTATTAAGCTTACGTGGAGATAGAAATGTAATCAACGCAATAAATAGAGTAAGCTGCGCACTCACCTCTATAAAAATCCAATCCAATCCAAAATTGTGGAAAGAAAACCTTCCGGAACACTTTATTCATCGCTATAGTTCTGTATTATAATAATGATATTATTGAAAGAAAGGATCAACACGTTACATGTTATCCGTATTTCGTGTTCAACACTAGCAGTTCTTTGCTACCCACACAATTGCGGCGACCCGTTGATCGGCCACCTCTGCTCTCAGTAGGCATCAGCGGGTAATACTAGTGTAGACTAGCATAATGGGGGTGTTCGCAAAGAGGGGGCATGGCCCCGGCATGTGGAGGCATTTTTTTGGAGAAACTAGCATAATTCGCGATTTTCAGCATATCATGGCCAGAGAGTCGTAGAATACAGTACTCCCTGATCAAATGCCTATACCGGTACATGCCACATGACCATCCCAACGCAAACTATACCATTGCGTACAACGATGTTGCCTTTGGTCGAGTAGAAGTAGTCTACTACTGATCGATCAACTTTCCGCGCATATATTTATACCTACTTTGGAAACAGAGGTTTTCGCGCACTCTTCTGCGATTTGTTTGCTGTATTTGGTCATAATATATTGCTAGCATAAAACGCCCTAAACTAGCATAAAACGCCCTAAACTAGCATAAAAAGTATTAAAACGAGCATTATGTCCTGTTTTTGCTGGCATTCTGTAAAAGCATAATCGGCTGAATTTACTAGCATTACCCGCTGATGCCTAGCTCGCAGCCTTCCTGCTGCCCACACTCGCTTTGGCTTTCACTTTTATTTGGGAGAGGGCACTATTCGAGAGAAGGCACTATTTGAGAGAGGGCACTATTTGAGAGAGGGTACTATTTGAGAAAGGGCACTATTCGAGAGAGGCCGCTATTCGAGAGAGGGTACTATTTGAGAGAGGGTACTATTTGAGAGAGGGCTTTAATGGCGACAGCACACCTTCGCCTATCCTCGATTAACTGCTCCCTTTACATAAAATTGTCATTTCATACTTCTTGCAGGAGATCCTCTCGAGAGGCCCAAAGCCTTTGGGAAATCCTTTAATACAAAACAATACAAATTCTGAAAGCACGCTTTTTTGGAATCTTAAATGCTCGAATAACCTTCTAAACCTCAGTAGCGTAAGAATAATTTGCTTTTGTGAGTTCATGTTCCAACTCCTCGATAACACGATCCATTTTGAATCGGTGCTGTGGATTCAGTCGCAGGAGATTTGTGACCAAGAGGTTAACGAACGGACGGAGGACTTTGAATGCTGCCACTTTCGTAAACGGTAGCTGAACTGGGTCCCTGCTAAATGATCTCTCAGAGCTGTTGTCCACATGATCACGAAAGTATCGGAAATCCTCGTCCGTGTTGTTAGCCGTAGCCCAAGGGATACCTTCGTTTTGGGCCAACGTCTGTAAAGCCACAAGACCAAAGGACCATCCGTCGGCGGATGCTTCAAGAGCTACCGTTGGTGTCTGGGGACCCGCAATCTCCGGGCAGGTATACGGCCAAGTGTTCCCAAAGGGGATGTTAGATGGTATTAGTCGACCCATGACTTTAGCGGCTCCGAAGTCGATGATCTTGCCCACATACTTTAAGTCTGGCCGAACGCTTACTACAATATTGTCCAGCTTGATGTCGCCATGAACAAGGTGCAGCGAATGAATATGCTTGAGGCCCTTGGCCACATCCGTGCAAATTCCGACCCGCTCCGAATACGAATACCTTTCAAGAGTAGCGATTTGAAGGGCACCGTCGCTGAGATACTCCATCTGAAACCCATAGCAGCTATTTCGCTGGAAGAGATACAGCGTGTTATGTATCTCTGCGATGTAGGGACAACCCCGCGAGGCGTACCGGTGCACTGCCATCTCAGTCAGAAACCTTCTCTGGCGGTGTTCTTCCGAGTTTGTGAATTTTCCCATCTTCATGACAGTGTCCGGGTGATCCCTATCTTTGGCCTTGATGCGGAGCACTTTTACCTTGATAGTCTCGAACAGTATTTCCTTCACCGGGAATGAATCTTCTACGGACGTTGTCCACATCACGGGAATATACGTTTCTTGTTTTTGGAGATGCAAGTCCAGCTGGAACCCATAATTGTCCGAATAGTTGCGTGGATGCACCGGAACCTGCTGAAATGGGGCCATCCTCTGCGCTTCCGCCACTGCTAATGGCTCTGGCAGCGCAGATGCGTGGGCCGATGGACTGGTTGGAGCCTCAGCCATTCTTTTATTGTAAAGAAGATGAAATTGAAATTGAAAATGAGGTCAGTTTGGAACTCGGAATTAGTGAAAATTGGGAACACGGCAGAAAGTAAGAGAGCCGTTTGATCACACTGGACGCAGCGAAGCGTAGCACCATTACCTACATGTATGCCATGTCGCCACCTCCAATCCGCCCGTATCCGGTATAACACCAATACGAGCATATTGTACAACATTCACATATTCAATCTCAGGAATAATTATATCTATCCTCTCCGTAGTCTAGTAGACACCCAGACCCTGGGGGTTTCAACATAATTATTTTGTCGTATCATGAGTACGTACGTATCTACTATGCAAGCTACAGTGAACTGTGACAACGTTTCTATGACTCAGACGTGTTTGATCCGCGATTGAACATTTGCCATTTGAAACACGACTGCATGTGGCCAGCCATGCTCTTTCGCTAAATCATTGTGTAGGCATCGTCCAAGGAGCGACTGTCCAGCATTTTCTTCAGACTTGGAAACTCACCCTTCCTGTAAATCCACACATATTGGTGGAATGCAGCCCTCACTGATAGAACTAGCTAGAAAGAAATTAATCCAGAAAAATCGTGTATTCAAACATAACGTCAAGGAAAGTTGATGAGAGCGGACATTGGGCCATCCGAGCAAATTCGTAGACCGTGGACTCTTGTTTTGTCTTGTTATGAGGCAATCGAACCTGTTCGACAGGCATGAAGGTGACGTTACGACGAATTTTTCTAGGAACGAATTTTCTCTTATTTATTTATTTCACCTTCCCGTGGCCAGAGAATATAGGCCAATATGGAGGGAGGGGGGGGGGGGGGCGGTAGCCAGCCATGGCAGTACTTCAAGTAAACAAAAACAAAGCAAAAATAATCCATGCAACGGCACAACACTCTGCAAAAGGTGTCTGGGCTACACCAAGAGTACATAAACCTTTGGCTACACCAATCTATGAACAAGATACGAAGAATACCTGAAGCTTGCCCGAAAATAAGGGTCATAATTATTATTATTTTCAAAGTTTGATTTTTCCCAGAGACCGTTTCGAGAGTGTTGTGGAGATGTATGGTTCTAGTCGAGTCTTCGCGTAGTGAGAAATATTTCTCTTACCCATATTTGTGTCGTAAAACTCGTATCGCACAGTTCTCCACAGTCATAATTCTTCTTTGTTGCCTATTCTGCAGTTGCGTGCGTTCTAGCACCTCATTGACCCCGGTCGTTCCTCATTCTTCATTTCATTTGGCCTAAGCAAAGACTAGTCAAGCTTGCTTGCCGATGTCCAGCGAAAAGGCTGATAATGTTAAACCAATAGTCAACTAAGGGTTTTGACGTGTGCCTTGGGTCGGGATGTGCAACATGACTTCCTCACGAGCCACCGACTTCAGAGTACAACCATGTAGTGTGTTGAGCGCGGTCTACATCTCTCAGCTCGCTGGGCCGCTGTTCAACAACCACACCCTCTGCACACAGCCTCCTGCCTAAGATAACACCGCTAGCCGCTGCATTCTCACAGCTTTTCATACCTTCTCCGGGCATATATACTGGCATGGTCGGCACCCAACCTTCATGTTGCCTGATGATGGCGAGAGCATGAAACTTCAAGTCGCAGCAAACAAGCCTTGATTGTCCTTGTTCTTCTGTTCTGTAAACTCTACTTGTAAACACGATCCCTGGCATGGTAATGTCTGCCGCACTAGTACTGTACATAGTGTTAATGTCAACACCCAGAACACGAAACGTGTTTGCGCATGCCACCCCGCCTAGGGGGTCGGATTTCAGTTGCCAGCACTATATGCATGCATGTGGAGTTGCAACTCCTGAACAACGCACATGAGTCACTAATAAAATCCGCCGACCGCAATTGAACGCAGCGACTTATTTCAACAATCTCCGTAGCGCTAACCAGCAGCCTTCCAACTCGGACAGTTCCAGGTTATGGTTAGCGCTACGGGGAGATGTGTTGAAGCTAGGTGTCAGGACGTCGAATGTCTCAGTACGAGTACTCTGTCAGTTTTGTGCCTAGTTATTGCACTTTCTGACTGTGTAGATCACCCTTTTCAGGTGATCTAAGGATATTTCCCCTAGTTTGAGGGGATTATGGCTCATAATCCCCTCAAACGAGGGGATCTCATATACACAGGAAATCTTGTGGATCCCCTCGGACGGTGGGTCGGACCCAGTCCTAGTCCTTCTACCAGCATAACCAATAGAGCTAGCTCCCTTGGCTGCTGCTTGAATATGCAAGAATGGGCCTTCCAGATAAGGTCTAAAAAGGGGAAGTGGCTATAGTTATCAAAAGAAAAGCATATTGGTGAAAAAAACTAGGGAAGTGGCAATCTTTCTATCAGCAACAAACAAGAGCATCTTAATTTGCAACATGCTACATGAACCGGGTGTGCCGAACATCGGCAACCATAGAGACACACCACACTCTCATATAGATACTGGTTATAAAAAGACCGAGTAAGGAAAATAATCCAATAGCCTATGGAGAGTAAATGAAATTGAATCAATGACAACAAATGCTCGTCCAGCACACGAGTTGTCATAGAAACATTGAACGAAATGACAAAGACGCATAGTAATGAGCATCGCCATTCAATGCAAACTTTAGTTTCTAGTACAATGTTTGGAAAATTCCTTCTTTCACAGACCTGAAAGATAAATCTTTGCAGCAGTTAGCCTACTACTAACTCAATGTCATTGGTTCTACATGTACGTGTAGATGTACTCATTCACGCTCTACTGGTCTTGTCAAATTTGTTCCACACGATCACAAACAATCCATCTTATTTCGGATACTCTTACACCATTTGACTAAGCCATGGGACGGACGTCAGTGTCTGACAATTCTTCATTGTAGTCTTTGATTTGTAGGGAATAAATCGCCTCCACGCCGGTAGGTGACAGACGAACAGAGCACCTCAAAATATTTTCAATTAATTATTACAATATCTACTATTTCGTCGTCTTCACTTGATCGCTATCAGTATCGCTTTCCCCCACGGTCTGGTCAGCTACCAACAAGCAGCAGAGTTCATGAGGCTTCATCTTGGGAGACAAACCAAAGAAAGTGTGTGACAATCCGCATTCGCCTCAGTCAAACCAATAAGTGGATCAAAACCTGGAGAGGCGACGAACAAACGACTATATCAGAACTACCGGTACTTCGCGTTCGGTGTTGTTCCGTTCACAGTGCACTGGTTCATGCTGCATGCAGCGCTGCTGATCACCCGAAAAGTGTGGTCTATATAGGATATTGCACAGTGTCCGCGAGAATTATTTTTCATAATCCCCGCGGCGCTGCGCGCCTTGGGGATTTGAAAAATAATCCCCTTGGAACCGTGCAATATCCTATACATTATAATAGTATCTGGTTACAGTGATGGAGAGTTACTCTTAAAATTAACTCCTATCCATATTATGTCCTTTTCCTTTCTACATTTTATTATTGGCTCAAAATCCGAGTTTTAGCTTTTGATAAAAATGCAAATCACTTCATAGCTTCGAGAGCAGTGCTTGCTCCTGGAATCTCGCCTTCCAGCTCCTGAATAACGCGATCCATGTCGAAGCGCCGCGTTGGATCCATCCGCAGGAGATTTGTAACCAAGTAGTTCACGAAAGGGCGGAGGACATTGTATGGCGTCTGACTCAAAAATTTAAGCGGCACCGGATTTCGGCTGCTTGATCTCTCGGAGCTGCTGTCCAAATGCTCACGAAAGTATTTGAAGTCCTGATTGTGGTCGGAGGCCCTATCCCAAGGCATTTGGTAGCTCGGGGTCAACGAACTCAAGGCCATCATACCGAATGACCAAATGTCCACCGAAGCCGCAAGTACTAAACGAGTTTCCTCTGGATTGGCGAGTTCTGGGCATGTGAATTGCCATGTATTCCCAATGCTATGGCCGGTTTTTACTTTGAAACCCATGACTTTGCTTGCTCCGAAGTCGATGATCTTGCCCATAGGTTGGCCATCTGCTCTAATGTGTACAAGAACATTGTGAACCTTGATGTCAGCGTGGACAATGTGCAAGGAGTGGATGTGTTTCAGACCTCTCGCAACATCCCTGCACACTCGGAGGCGACCCGCGTAGGAGAGCTTGGATAAGTTTTCCATTACGGTACCTTGGCGCATATATTCCACCTGGAAGCCAAAGCAATAGTCGTCATAGAAGTTGTACAGTGTGTTGTGAATCTGCGCGATGTAAGGGCAGCCAGTCATTGTTACATATCTGTGGACGGCGATCTCCGACAGCATCTCCTTCTTCTTCCAAGCTTCGTTTTGGAGATCGAATTTGCCCATCTTTAAAACAGTCTTGTAACGCTGGCCTTCGTCTTCTTCGATCCGGCAAATTCTTACCTTTCTGTTCTCGAACATCTTCCCCTTGACTGTGAACTCTCTGTCGAGAGACGTTACGCAGAGCTGGCGAATTTCGTTCTTCTGCATTTCGAGCAGGTGCTGGTATGCCTGATAACCGGCGGATGTGCCTGCATAATTAGCTGGGAATTCTGACGTCGTCTGGTCACCGACCCTAGGTGGCTGCTCAGTGACGCCTTCCCGTCTGGGGTTTGCAGCATGAGCCATTCAAGCGAGAAGGAAGAAGATGAATGGGAAATGAAGTTATTTTGAATCTTGGAGTTGGTTTCAATTGGAATTCACTGCAGATAGAGAAAACCATTGAATCATACTTGAAGAACAATGCGAACACGTGAGCGCAGCCCTTTTATGCGCCATGCTTACGTCTGAAATCAGTCCGTATCCGCTACAAAATCACAAGCCTGTATCGTACAAACATACACATCTTCGTTCTCTTCAAGACATGAGCCGAGCCAAGCTAAAAGGTGGCTAAGGCGTAATTTATTTGGAAAATTCTTTTTTCATGTCTAACTTCCCCTAAGTGAAGTCTTTAATTCCCAACTTCCATCATGGAAATTTTGGTGCCCTTCCGAAATGTATATGTGCCATAAATAAGCATACATTGTGTACATTTCACAGAATGCCTGGTATCAAGGGCACTATGGATTCCAAGACATGCCCAAACTAAAAAAAAAACATTGTACGCCAAGTGGCCGACGAGAGATCTTGGAAGCTCAGGGTAGGGTTCGGCGGATTCAGCCGGCAGAAAAATTGGCAGAATTCGGTACTTTTTCTGGTAAGTTTCATGCATGTTTGGTATGTGGATAAAGAAATGGAGGAGAATTCGAGGAATTGCCCGCCATAAGGTTTGTATGGTTCTGCCAATTTCACAGCTTTTCGAGCAGAATCTGCCACCTTTTCGAGCAGAATCCGCCGGTCCCTAGCTCAGGGCCCTACACTTTTTTTTTTTTGGTCTAGCTCATCATGCATGTTATTGGAACTGATGACAATGTTTTTTTACATTGATTGGCTACATCATTTTATTTGCAAAAAACGTTTCAATCTGGTTGAATATGAGTGTGAACACATTGGCAGTCTTGTAACTGGTTATTTGTAGATAACAAGTCGGGATAAGACCGATCCCTTTGTCTGGGTTCGTGAAAAGAGCCACGCGTGCACGTCAGCTCGTTTGAAGTGCTTGGTATTGTATTTAGTTGGTATGTGGCAGCTTGTGGGAAAGAGAGACTTTTGCTCCCCGAGGTTATGTACTTGTATGGAAATCATTAGTCGTAAAGTGGCCTCCGTATACATGTTTGCAACGAAAAGGAACGAGAGAGCTTGGAAGCTCATGGCCCTACGCTATTCTTTTTTGCATTGCTCATCATGCATATTAAGCTGCAACTCCCGGTGCAGTACTCACGCCCCGACATGGGTACTTCCCCTTGTCTTACCCCGAACATTTAATGATAGTAGCCGGCTGGCCAAAATAAAAATAAAAAAATATTTGAAACTCGGGTATTGAGCCAATAATAAAAGTAGAAAAAAATAAAAAAAAAATATTATTAGAACTTTTAACTGGTTTGAGGGAAAGAGACTTTAGAACTGATGGAATTTGTTTTCATTGATTGGCTACATCATTGTATTGCAATAACGTTTCAATCAGTTTCAATATGAGTTAGGCAAAAGTAATTGCAGAATTTATTGGAACTCGGATGGTGAGCCAATTAAATAATTGTGAAAAGAAGAAGGACAAAATGTCACGAGTTATGACTAACTGTCCACCAACGTAACGCAACGCAAGATCTGGTTACGTTGGTGGACAGTTAGTCATAACTCGTAACATTTTGTCCTTCTTCTTTTCACAAGAATTAATTGGGAATTTGGGATTGTTATTTTCTCTCACTTCATCAACTTTTGGTTTATTATTATTATTCTCGTTTCCGTTCCCAAGGGGAACTCACGACAATGGAGTGAAAATCATAAACAAAAATAAAAAACATGGTGATGTGGAGATAATAGTGTTGCATACATTGAGTAAAAAATAATACAGATACAATCAGTGCTTCGGATGCCTGTAGACCCTGATATTGTAGTGAGCACAAGCACCGTCCACACACGTAAGACAGTCCATATGTTCATGTGAAGGCCAAGCAGATGTTGCCCCATCTCGATTAGGCCTTTCCCAAATCGGTCGGCCGAAAAATTCGCCGGTTTGCTCCTTCATTTCCTTTTTATCTCCTTATAAGCGGATTTTCTGGCCTTTTTGTAGTAATAAATTGACATGTTGAGCCAATGAGGTAAAACTATAATCCATACAATACGATACAATACAATCATACAATAATGTCCTTGCCTTGATAGTATGCGTGTTCTTAACTGTTGCTGACGGCCGAATTTATGGTTGCCTGTGGAGCGCGTTACATAACTTTACAGTCTCCTATAATACGCATCCTATCCGACAGCAAAAAAAGCTTCGGATTTAGTTTTTCTGCACGTTATCAGCAATGACTACCAACCTGCAGCAACTTGGGTTTCCTATAATACGCATCCTGCCTATCCTTTTGTAATGCTAACATAATGCTCGGGATTTGCCCTTACCCTGTTCATCGTAGTCCCCCCCCCCCCCCTTTCCAAATCTGTACTCTCTTGTACCGTCATCCTTCAATGCGACGGACCACACGATAGGCGGTCAGCCTTTGGGTCATCCTAACGAGAGAGCTTGGAAGCTCAGGGCCCCACGCTATGCGTTTTTGCCTTCATGACCTAGACAAAAAAAGCATAGGAATGTTATAAATTCTTATAAGTTTATAATTTTTTTGTTTTTAGACATAACCTAGGATTCGAACCCGCACTATCGCTAGGCACCGGCGGATTATGCCGGCATAATTATTGGCATAATTTGGTGGTTCAAAATTTGGAGCATAATTTGGCATCCTTCCGAAGGTAGGAGCATAACTACACGATTGTACCACAGTTCTAGTACATGAATATGTATGTACGAATTTTAAAAGCAAGGCGAAACGTACGTCGTGTGACACAACTTGTTTTATAGTCAACTAGTCCATCACAATGTCATGCATGAGGAGCACTGTAGGAGTTTAGCTTTCGGCTTGTACAATTCGTTTTCGCAAAGCTTCCCTTCCTTTACTTATCTTTGATATTTATGACCCACCCAAGTTGGGTGGTGTGCTGCTTTGCTGCTTCGAATTGTAGTTAGACCGCTTTGTCAAATGTCGTACTGGTCTCGTCATCGTCCAGTAACAATCGACGTTCTTTGTTCCGTTGGGACTGTAGCTTTTGCTCGTTTTCGTTGCGCTTGCCTTCCCCTCTTTGGTCTTTTCCATAACCTTGAACTTTCCAAGTTGGAAGGCTGTCGGTTAGCACTACGGAGATGTGTTGAAGCTAGCTGTCAGGACGTCGAATGTTTCAGAACTCTGTCAGTTTTTGTGCCTAGTTATTGCACTTTCTGACTGTATCTAGTATCATGTTACAGTGATGGAGAGTTACTCTTAACTCGTATCCATATGTCTTTTTCTCTTCCACATTATTATTATTAATTCAACATATCCTGGCTCGTCAGAAGACTGCCAATATATATGAGAAGTCGGGTGGTAGCCAACCACGCCGAACTGAATAATAAGGAGAGAAACAAAGAGAGTACTGCAAGGGGAGGCATGACGAAAATGGTGAGATTATTTAGGACGAAGAAGTTGAAGTTTGAACTCCTTAATGTCTGTGCATGCTTTAAGGCTAGTTGGCAGGGAAGACCAGAGAGTGTACGCAGAGAATATAGGAGATTTCAGAAACAGGGAGGTATTGGCACGGGGTAATGAGAAGGAATGACGTGTTGATCTGGTGGACACAAACCAGTTATACTTAGCAAAGTGTTTTGGAGCCAGGTCTAATAAGATCATGTGTACAAGGATGCAAAGATGTTGCTGGTGTCGCTCTAAGAGGGGAGATCCTGAAGCTAAACTGTAGAGACGTTGGGAGGAGAATGTTTGATTTTTGCGAAACAGGATTTTTAGAAGCAGACGCTGGTGTATTTCCAGAGTTTGAACAAGGGCCTGAGACAGACCGCACCACGCTGTGTTATCATCTTGTATTTGAAAGCCCTATTATATTATCAAGAGTACATAACCCCCCAGAGTGTGCAACGCCTGATCCAGCTCTGCATAGGGTCTTGGTCGAGCGGAATCGGATCTTTGCGTCATAATACCGTACACATCTGAGGGGAACCCGGGGAGTCGCGGGTACTCTTGGATCAAAAACAATGGTGCCCTGCCTCGAGACCGGCCTTGCGCTGGTGTGAAGTGTACGCATGACATCAGAAGATCCGATTCCGCTCGACCAAGACCCTACACAGAGCTGGATCGGCGTTGCACACTCTGGGGGGTTATGTACTCTTGATATTATTATACATTGTGGCCAGCCGTCTTTGATTGTACGGTACGGTACGGGAGAGGTACAGGACAGGTACGGTCGAGGGTAATACGACACCGTCTAACGTCTTGATGACGGCAAAAAATGAAAAGGGATATTATAATTTTTTCAATTCTCCTATTTTTCAGGCACTACTTGGGATTCGAACCCGCACTATTGCCCTACATGCATTCCCCCATACACTTCGCATTCATACTCATTCTTCCAAGTTGCTTCACGTTATGATCTTGCGTTTGAAAGCCCTATTTGAATATTGCGGCCAGCTGTATGTTGCTAGCTGTGTTTGATGGTACGGTACGGTAGGGACAGATACGGGATAGCGCCAGGCGTGACACAAACACACAAACACACAAACAAACAAACAAACACCAAACGAGAGAGCTTGGAAGCTCAGGGCCCTGCGCTATGCTTTGTTGCCTAGCTCATCGTGCATGTTGTTAGAACTGATGGAAATGTTTTTTTCCTTTGATTAGCTACATCATTGTATTGCAAAAACGTCCTTTACCAAACAGATCACTAGCGCGATAGCGCTGATCAGGTGCATTGTACACAATTCTGTAGCCTACATACTAGAACTGTGGTACAATCATAATAGTTATGCTCCAAGTTGCTTCACGTTATGATCTTGCGTTTGAAAGCCCTATTTGAATATTGCGGCCAGCTGTATGTGGCTAGCTGTGTTTGATGGTACGGTACGGTACGGGACAGATACGGGATAGCGCCAGGCGTGACACAAACACACAAACACACAAACAAACAAACAAACACCAAACGAGAGAGCTTGG